GACGGCGGCGAGTGGCGGGAGAGAGCTCCCAGAGGCGCCGCAGCGGTGAGGAACGGGTGAGTGGGGGGGGGGGGGGGAGAGGAGGGAATGGTCGCGAAGTCGCACGACGGGTTTCGTGCGCTTCGACCTCACGCGCCCCCGCCGCGAGCGGGCGTCACTGACAAGTGTCCGCAAGACTAGCGTCTCGCGCGGCGCCGACCGGGTTCTGTCCACGGTGCTGACAAGTTTGAGGTTGTTCATGAGGAACATGTTGCCGTACTCGCTCGGCGACCCGTAGGCGCTTAATTACCAATTCAATTATCGCAATACACGTTCCGCTTTGATTAGCTGAGTTTCCAATCTCCTTGAATAAATCAATTTTACAAAATGTTGGTGATCACAAAGATGTCATTGCTTTCCGGTGAAGAAGAAGAAGAAAGAGAGAAGAGAAGAGAAGAAGGAAGAAGAAGAAGAGAAGCAAGAAGAAGAAAGAAGAAATAGTTGCAAGCACCAAGTCGTACTTGATGCCACAGATACGGCTACAAATGACTGATTATAGTAAAGTATAAATGTACTAATGTAAAAGTATAAATTGTTGACTTAAACCTAAATTAGCTTCTTCAATTGCGAGGAGAAGCGAAATGTAGAAAGTCTTTGCTGTTGCAGTTGGAGCTTGTTGAATAGTAGTTCCGGTGGTCGTTAGGCAAATGGACAGAACTCTGCGACTACATCTTCTGCAAGACTTGCATTCTGACAATGTAAAAAGGGCGATTCTGATCAATAACGTCATAGTGACGAGTTTATAATGAAATAGCTTCGGCGTCACGTGGCGAACCGTGAATTCGCCAGAAATTTCGCAGGCAGGATTACACAATTCTATGACTGGTGGAGCACCTCGCGAGGCGAAAGTCTTAATGATAATAAATTGGTGAAAAATATTATTTAATATGATAATCAATATAATAAAATAGTAGTAAATATGTCTTTACAAATTACGAGCCTCTGTAGCTGGATTCGTATCATCTCTGACTTTCCTTCAATGTTGCAGTCGCTCTCTCTGGCTTGATGATTGGTTGGTGTTTGACGTTTTGGAGCATCTCCAGCTGTGAACATCATTAGTCCACTTAGTGTGGAATGTGTTATTCCGGGAGGCGAACTGTTTGTCTCCCGTGGACGATGAGATCGACGTCGACCTACTTCTGGGACGTTTCCGTCCAATGAATCTTCCCGCAGCGGAGCTGCGCTCTAGTTGGGACACGTGCTAGAACTCCTGACTGGTCTACCGTCAAAGGTTTGGTGTAGTGAAGTTTAAGTGTTGTTCAGTTGTGTGGTAAAAAGAAAGAACATGACAATGAAAAAAGAAGGAAAAATGGGCGCGCATTTCAAAAGCCCGTTTGTTTGGGTACTGCCGTCAGCATTCGTTCTAAATATTGAACGAAGAACCGACAGAAAAACTACCGTTCGAGGCAGATAGATAGTAGAATTCACCTCCAACAAATTCGACTTGTACAGTCCCTGCATATTATTAGACGCACCTCTAAATTTCGATAAAATTCAGTTTTGTGACGAAAAATGTATTTTTATATTTCTAACGACATTCATAAGTATATTGAATACGTACGATAGAAACAAGATATCATATGCAAAATTATGACTGTCAGATAAATATAAACTAATTTTCATAAAAAAAAATCTCCATGACATGTATTCTTTAATACTTTGTCAGGCCACCTTGGCGCGCTATTAGAAGCTTCTTCAATTTTTTCGGTATGATATTCCTGCAGCTGGACAGTTTTTGCAAACTCTGGATGATGGTACGAGACTTGAATTATTTTCAAACTGGCGAATTTTTGTTGTTATTTCTTAATTGCGATTCCTCTTTATGAGCTCCCAAACATTTTCTATTGGTTCATATCGTGGTGAATTTCCTGACCATGTGTAACACACACGAACATTTTCTCCAACAAAAATGATCGAACTGTTCGAGAGCAGTATGAATTGAGCCCATCTCGCATAAAACAAATGATTCTTCATTTGAGAACCATTCCTGTAGTTGAGGCAGCAGTTGTTTCTCCAATACTTGTTTGTACTGGTCTGTTTCATGATGCCCTTAACCAAGTCAGCCCGTGCTTTGCACATGATCACTGAGCAAAATCATTGCCTTGACTGATGTTTCACAATCCGATGACGCAATCTGAATGAT